TATTAATATTTTGTAAAGATCCTTCAAGTTAGAAGAGGCAAATGGAAAACTGTGATAACAGAACATCCTTATGCACCTCCCCACACATCTGGCTAACCACCTTCCAGTCCAGTAAATTAAACATAACACACTCTGCCTTGTCTTATCGCCCAAGTAACAGAGAACAAGTGCCACTTTCCGGGTCACATATGAATCATCTACTTTCTTTTCCATTATACCAACTAAAAAAGCCCCAATCAACTGAGCTTTCCACAACCGTAATTCTTTTCTATTTGCACCATTAAAAGTACCCAGAAACCCTCCCCAGTCAACATTTTCATAACATATCTAGATTACAGCATTAAAAGAACCTACAAACGTATCTCCTGTGCAACTTAAATGTTAACTTTAAATTAGCTTTAAATTTTAATGGCTTCCAATGCCTATCATGCATAAATACACTTAAGTGAGGTCTAAAAACAGTCTTGATCCATTTGGATAACAACAGTGTCAACAGAGCCCACAAACATCATATCTGCCTGCTTGAGTTCAGTGTTTTTACATCTTTGTCAAAATTGTAAATGCATTTGCTTTTTTTTTGCCTTTCCCTCTAAAAATCTTGGAAACTTAATGGCAAAGCCACAAGCAAACATGTTGATGCTCTACAGTAAAACAATGTATTTTCATTTTAAGGATCACAAAGTAATCTAAAGAAAGCATGTTTGCATACAGAGCCCAAACTCTTCCAAGAAAAACAGGTACGTTATCTGCTGGGAGAAGAGCAAAATGAGACAAAACCTAGTAAGATTACTAGCTCAAAATCACTCAAAGAAAAAATGCCAGACTGAGGAACACAAACTATTCCAACAGACCATGAAACTTCCCAAGCACTTCCCCTGAAATGAGGGGACTACTCAAGAGTTTTCAAACTACTGCACACATGCACAGACACTTTAAATCAGGTTTGCAACATAAACACAGCAATTCCTACTGCCATGTAAAAACAAGGCAGCGTGATGGCAATTATTCTGTTCAGAGCTTGCCCTTACACTTAAACTAACAAAGGAAGAAATAACATTACCTAATTTTTTTTCCTGCAATCATAAGTGGGCCACATCTGGAAGTTGTAGCTGCATGAGCCCAGAAATCTCTTTCTTCAGTCACCACAGAAACTAATATAGGAACTCCAGTGATTTGTTCTCTTTTTTTCAGTAAAAAATTTACATATGAATTACACACCAAATTCCTTCAGTCTAATAAACTGTTCTGAACTTGCATGAAGAAAATACTGCTTCTTCGTTATCATCCTCCTCTTGCTACTCTTTGCTGTCTTTCCAAAAAAACTGTACAGCAAGCATAGTGGTAAGTCTACCTCTTGCCTTGATTCCATGCATGGAAACAGAGGTTTGGAAATATATCCTTACATTTCAAAGGATTTTAGATTCCCAGATTTCCTGCCAGACAGGCCTGCTTATTAGTCCCTGCCTTGTGTGTAAGTATTAACACAGCAATCAGTCAAGAAATCATCTGATGCCACTGGGCTGATTCTCAAAGGCATAAAAAAATTGCATATAATAGCCCACATAAATTACTGATGCTCAGGACCTGACTGGAAGACCGAAATACTGAATTATTTTCTATTATTTTTCATGTTCATTAATTACCATTAGATAAAGAACAAACGAGCACATATAGAGGCTAGAAACAGCATATGAGTCTCTTAGGTGTTTCCCGTGACACAATACAATTCAAATATTGTTTTTGCACTTAAGAACAGAAACGCAAACATTTCATAATTTCGCTGTGTATGGGAAATCAAAACAAACCTTACCTTATTTACAATATCAATTTTAGTAAAAAGTCAGGCTATGCTAGTACAGGGTGGCAGGAACCATGCCATCTTCCTTCAGCAGATTTTTCCAAATGCCCCTCTGTTCAACTAAGTCTAACTCCGCTCTGTTTTGTTTCCCCAGGAGGACCCATTCAGGACCATGTGCTCCTTTTCAGCTGTCAATAAACAGAAGCGGTGAATTCCCCAGTGCTTCACAAAGCTAGTTAGGCATAGCCATTCATTTCTTTGGGAAAACAGGGCATTGATTTCAGCAAATTCCCAGGGAGCAGCTACAACAAAGAGATCAAAGATCCACCTCCTTTCCTGCCTGGCTTTGGCCGGCTGGGCTGAGAGGAGCAGCAACAGGTTTCGGAAGAGCAGGCTCAAGCCCCACTGACCACTGCATGCTCCATTCACACCCGTCATCTTCCTACATTCCCGGAACAGCCCCCGGCACTAACCGTGACAAACCCCTACATTCACACAGCATAATATACTGCACGCTAGTTCATCCAAGGATAAAAAGAAAAACAAGCTCCAAGGGAAGTCCGCTGCTTCCCCAACCAGCCGAGCCTCAGTAGCTGCCAGATTTTCCATAAACTTTTTTTTTTCTTAGCTTCTCCATCTCAAACAGAGAAACACTTGCTACCTCAAATTTATTGTGGTGAAAGTTCACTGGAATGTTGGCTTTTTAGGTTTATTTCCATGAGCTTGAAGACTTAGCTGCTGGAGTTTGAGGTCTAGTTGCAGCAGTCCTTGTATTGTGCAGCCATGACGTTTTCTTTGTGCAATTTGCCCCAGACTGCAGTGTTTTTTTCCCTAGGAAACTAAGGGGGTTTGTTCTGATTTGGTTAGATTTTTACTTTTTAATTATACGTCTTGTCTTCATTAATGTGACCTGGAACAAGATTTTTAATGCTAGAATTTGACCTTGTATTGAACCAAGCATTAGTAAAAGATGATGCTGTGGACAAGCTTAAGGACTGGTGGTTAGGCTACACGTCTACTACTAAACAGTAAGAGACAGAGACCGGTTCTTATGGTGCGGAGACCACTCGGCATCAGCTCCACATGTCTAAATGCTCCTCAACTCCTTATCTGTTCCCCAACAAACAGTTTGGTTATATCCAAATTCCTTACCTGGAACACAGTCTGGTAGATATTATCCCCAAAACACACCATAGTGTTGCTTGCTACTATAGGGCAGTACTGAGCTCATGGGCTAGCTCTGAAATATTTATTTATATAAATACAGACATAAAGATCTAGAGTCACTTCACATCTGTACAGATCTGCTGTTTTATTCTTTAGCATTCTCTTGTGCACTGACATTTTACCAAGGCACTGCTTGGCTGTCACAAGTCCCACATGGCCATGTACTCCCACCAGCTGGAACTTGTAAAGGCCCCTCAGCACTGGTACTGCCTCAGGGCCATTCACACGTGTCCAAGTGAGAAGACAAATGTCTATCCCATTAGCATGACTGAGTATCACAGGACTTGGCACAGTGCAAGCAGTACAATACTGAGAAGACCAGGGACAAGTGGTAGGGATGACTGATCATTGCACAGAAGATAGTTGAGGACACCAAGAAATACAGAACCGCAGAATTATCGAAGTTGCAAGAGACCTGTGAAGATCAACTAGACCAGCCTCTTGCTGAAAGCAGGCCCTTAAATAGCATTACCCAGGGCCTTGTCAAGCTGTATCTTGAATATGTCCAGTGAGGGACACTCCACCACTTCCCTGGGCAGCCTATTTGAGTGTTTAATCAATCCCACAGTGAAAATGCTCCGTGCATCCACAAGCATCTCCCCTGAAGGAATTTGTGACCATCACCTCTTGTCCTGTCAGTGCATACTTGGGGAAAGAGTGCTTCCAACTCCTTTTTCCATTTTGTACTGGAAGTCTAGTACTATGACTAGATCCCCTTGAACCTTCTCTTCTTTGAGCTGAACACATCCAGCTCCTTCAACCTCTACTCAGGTGACAACTTCTCTAACCCGCTGATCATCAGGAGAAACATGAGAGAGGTACTGAGCTGAAAAAAGAAAAATGAAACTGATAGGGCATAAAATTGCTATAACAGACAAAACAGCTTAAACATGTTAGCACAGTTGAGGAGTCTTGACCCCAACTACTGTGCAGTCACCCTTCCCTCTCTCCATTCTTTAACTTTTCACTCCTGACAGCAGTTCTGCCTGTTGTATACAATACAGTCAGGCATATCACATTCCTTATTTTAGAGTTTTCCCTGTATCTAAATGGCATTTAAGCATGCCCCAAAATTGCCAGTTTGCACTTGAAGCTCAAAAAATGCACAAATAACTTAATCTTGAAGTACAGATATAACCCCCAGAGATAACTGCTGCCACTCAGCCACTGATGGCTTTATATTTATTAACAGAATACAATTATTAATGAAAAAAAATATTGTTTTCTTTGTTCCTCTGGGGAAATATTAAGAAGCAATAAAACAGGTTTCTGAAATTCCCCTCTTATACTGCACAGTGTGCAGCTGGGCAGCCCTTGGAAGCAATGATAAAAAATGGCAGCTGAGGCACTGGAGGGACTCCAAAAGAAAGCATGTAGATCAGATCAATAAGCATAGAAAATGTGCTTAATGCTTCGGATAGCTTAGGCTGGAGTGAGAGAGTGTGAGTATCGAGGAAACGTGGGCAGCAGTCTTTTGTGGTAGTTACGACAGCATAGTATAAGGATATGTCATTTGTATATTCTTTTCTGTTAAAAAGAAGGATGGATAATAGTGATGAGGCATGAGATTTGGATATGACTGGGATAATGATGCACTGGAAACACAGGAGTTAAATTCACAAAATGATTTAAAAACCCCGAGTACATCACTCTGTAGTAATCTGGGATGGTATTTGTGCCAAAGATAGATAAAACATTTTAGACAGAATTGTAATTTTAAGTCTCAATGAACCAGTCTGTTCTTATACTTGGGCCAGATTTTTACAATTTTACTCATATTAAGTCATGCTTTACTCCAAGAATAATCCTGTTGATTATAATGGTAATATTGTTCGACAGATGTCTCAGAAGAAACACAAATGTAAAAGCAGACTTTATACTTCAGATAAAAGACATCAATCATGAGTACATCTGGGAATCTGATAAAAACATATGGTGCAAAAAAATCACTGTGAGATAATGGAAATGTACTTACAGAGCAGGTCTGTTGACATGTTTACAGATCAGGCAAAGGAAACCTACGAAAAATAAATGAAAAAAGAATTATCAATTTTCTGACCTAGCACTATTCATGTTTATATCTCATGCTAGTAATCACATGCATTGTCTTTTAGTTCTTTAGGAAATAAGGAGAATATATATACAGAAATCTAACGAGGAAGAATTTTAACTTGTAGAAAAAAAGAATAAATCCATCTAATTTTTTATTCCTTAATAACTGATTCCACTTCATTTCACAGACAATGTGAACTGACAATATTAATGTAATGCATTTTAATTAAGAGCAGTTCGCTGTAACTCACATATTCATTAACATTTATTATTAAAACAGAATTTTCAGGCATCCTGTATTCTACCCCATTGCATGCCATTCTGTGTTTAAGCCTGCTATTTCTGGTATTCATCCTAACAGTCCTGACCCTTGCAGAGTCAAAAAGAATATTAACCAAATATAGGACAAGACATTTAATTTGCTCTCTTGAAAGACTTCTGGAGACCTCTAGTTTTCTGCTGAACTAATTTATCTTGTTCTCTTCCCATTCATCTGCTGGTTTTTGACTGAAATTTTACTATAAGCATACAGGAACAGAGTCTGAGTCTTCTGTAGCTGTCTGAGCAGTCTCCAACATAACGGGATTCCAATGAGTGAATAAGGCTACTTGGAGCAACAGAAATAATAATGCATGTAATAATAAGAGAACACACAAATAACAGTACAAATCACATCAGTACATGCCATTTTATGTCATGTACAAAACTTGAAAGTTTCAGGCAGTGTTTGAAGGTGTGTGTATATGAATTAAGAGTGAATGAAAGAGGTTCAACTAGGTGGAGTGCTGGGTCCTGCACTTGGGTCACAACCCCATGCAGTGCCACAGGCTTGGGGAAGAGTGGCTGGAATGTGGCCTCGGAGAAAAGGACCTGGGGTTGTTGGTTAACAGTCAGCTGAACATGTGCCTGCAGTGTACCCAGGTGGCCAAGACCAATGGCATCCTGGCCTGTATCAGCAGTAGCGTGGTTAGCAGAACTAGCGTAATAACCGACCTCCTGTCCTCAGGACTGGTGAGGTCACACCTCAAATCTTGTGTTCAGCTTTGGACTCCTCACTGCAAGAAAGACATTGAGGTGCTGGAGAGTGTCCAGAGAAGGGTAATGGAGCTGGTGAAGGGTCTGGAGCACAAGTCTTATAAGAAGTACCTGAGGGAGCTAGGGGTGTTTGGGCTGAAGAAAAGGAGGTTCAGGGTGACCTTATTGCTCTCTACAACTACCTGAAAGTAGGCGGTAGAGAGGTGGGGGTCAGTAACAAGGGCAAGAGGAAATGGCTTCAAGTTGCACCAGGGGAGGTTTAGATTGGATATTAGGAAAAATCTCTTCACGAAAAGGGTTGTCAAACATTGGGACAGGCTGCCCAGGGAAGTGGCTGAGTCCCCATCCCCAGAGGTATTTAAAAGACATGTAGATGTGGAGCTTAGGGATGTGGTTTAGTGGTGGACTTGACAGTGCTGGGTTTATGGCTGGACTCAATGGTCTGAAGAGTTTTTTCCTAAATGATTCTATGATTCTATGAAAACTTGACTCTGATGAAGGCAACAGTATTTTGTTGCTGACTGAAATGCGTCAAAGAAAACATCTTCATTTTTAAAAATACAGAGTAAGATACTTAAAAATTAATTGGAGCTGGTTGGGAAAGCTGAGGGAAGGGGAGTTTGGAAGAAGGCAATAAAGATGACAGGAAAAATGAATAGCAAGGAATAAAGAGAATTGAGAAGGAAACAGACTCACAGTAAGTAAGATGAACACAGAGGATGATGAGGCAAAGGGGAGTTAGTGGCCTGCTGATGAGAATTTGCCGAGGAAGAAGCTGTGACTGTCAGGTGCCAGGATGAGGAAGCTGAGATCCAGCTATCTGCTGAAACCTAGAAGCACATTTTCATGTTTGAAAAGACTAAGAGAACACTTCCAGTGATCCACTGCAAGCACCTAAGTTGCCATCTTAGCTTGAGAACATGCTGTGTGTGCCTGCAACCATACTGCAGTCATGCTGAGCGCTCTCCCCAGCATTTACTCAACAGTGATGTACATCCAGCACTACTGGGCAACATAAGAAGATGCTCATTACATTAGCAAATTGACAATCAATAAACTTACATATCCTCATTTAAGCGCTTGCAGACCTCCCAAGAACAAGACACATAAAGTTAGTAAATCAGACTCATCATCTTACCTTGTGTCTCATTGCAACATAGTCAAACCCCCAAGGAATCAAATTGTAAATTCTAGCATAAAATACAGTAGAGAACATATATTTTATAGATGCTTTGGACTTCGGAATTTAGAAGATTTCTGATGTCGAAATATAAAGAACGCCTAGTCTTTCCTTCCCACATCCTTAAACTTATCTTTCAAGTGTATGCTGACTTCATCAAACAGAAGACAAGTACAAGCTTTGTATTTTAAAAGATTATTTCCAGTGGTGGGTGGTTAGGGGTAGTTGACAGGTATACTATAGACTTTAATGCAGAAAATTCTTATTTTCAACACAAACCAAAAAGATCCCTTCCACCTTTGTGCTGCACACATTCCCTAGTGGGATAAAACTAAGAGGGAGCTACTCATCAGAGAGTCTCGTCAGGGAAGATACTACAAGGAAAGATGCTTCAACTGCCCATGCACAAGCATCCTGTGTCATTTAAGGTGCCCAAGGACATCTGAAACACCCACATGAGTCTGACAGCAATACTAATGATTGTAAAGGAGAAGGAGTCCCTCCTGGACCAGGAGCTAAAAGCCAGGCAAGGCTACACAGGGCATCTCAAAGAGTATTAGACACTTACATTTCAGCAAATTAATCAAGTCCTACAGTGTTGAAGTTTGTGTGTTTTTACAAGAAGCCAGGCAGATAATGGGCAGATTGCTGGTAAATCACTTGTGTCTGAGATCAAGGGGACTGCAGATGAGGCATGAAACACAAGTGCCAGCACATCAACTTCTCTTCTGTAACCTCTGTCCTCTACCAAAACAGCTGCCTCTGGTGAACATACAGCTTATAAACTAGCTTTGTCTCTGACTGGGACTGTGTGCAGCTGGGAGAAAGGAGCAGTAAAGGGGCCCATATGCTAAAAGGACATCAATGAGTCTCCTTTTTTCAGGTGAAAACAGGCATGCCGAGTGCATGCTTCCTAAGCAGTAAGTGTCCTAGTCTGATTTCCATTATCCAGAAAACACTTCATTTCTGAAAAAGATCTACTCTGCAGTTTGATTCCATTCTGGCTGAGAGCAAGGTACTTGTCTGTGGTGTTAATTGCTAAAAATTTGGGCCTTGCAGAGGGAACAGTGGACTCTAAGGGCATCCATATGTGACTGTATATGTGCCAACCTTTGTCATCTCCAGCAGGCTACATGTTGCCACTGTCAGTGCAGTGCCGTCAACTAATAAAGACTTCATTCCCACTGCAAGGAATTACTAGGCAAAAGGACTCCACTGTGCTGGCATTCAATCTGCAGGGCAATTACCTGGTAAACCACTGCAACACAACAAGCTCTTCCCTCCCACATAGGGTCTGAGTCAGTAGTATACCTTCATCCTCCCACATCTGATCTGCAGCAGTCTCCTGTCATGAGAAAGTCCAGCCTCAGTCTATGCCCTTCCCTTCCCCAACACATCTGCCATCCAATCATGTTGCAGTGACATGGTGGTCACCATGAACACCCCAATTAAGGTTTGGTTGAATTATTCTGTGGTGTCACTTCCATGATAAATCACTGAAGTGTTTTTCTCTACAGGCCATCAAAGCCTGAGAAGCTTTCTTTTCCCGCCCCCATACAGTCATCTGACGAAGCACTACTAGCAGCAACAACCCCATAGTGTCCAAGTCCAACCCTTGGGAAAAGCACAGAGACTACAGACCAAAAGCGAGGACCTCTGTGAGGGCATCCCAGTCACTGCAATACAAGCCACTTGCAGAACAACAGAGCAGCAGCTGCACCAACACAAGGAACTGCTCTTCTTCCAGCAGCTCATCTGGACATTATCTGTGACAGGTTGAGGACAAGTACTGCAAGGAGTATTTGCAGAGGCAAGGGAATGTAAGCAGAACTACAAGGTCCTTCATAATTTATGCCAGCTCTTCCCTGCAGTTATCCTCAAAATGGACCCAGAACTACCTGTCCTCCTAGCTGCAGAAAACTACCACCATAATTCCTTCTCCTGCTTCAAGGGTACCCTTTGTGCAGTGTACTGACCCCTGACCAAGGGGTCTTCAACACATGCAAAGTCATGGCAACCACATATGCTGTGCCAACTAGGCACAGTGCCTGCTGGTTTCTGGCCACACCAGTCACTTGTCCATCTAAACTCAAGTGGTTGGTCAGTGACCATGCTGGCCTCAGTTTAACATTGACCAATGTTCTGTGTTTTCACTCCTTGTAAACCCCACTGATGTATAACATTGACCTTTAGACAAAGTGGGGTAGGTACACTGGCCAAATTTTCTGTGCTGCCCACACAGTCAAAAGAAGTTGTTTGTGGTTGCTCTTAAATATCATCACTTCTCATCAATGAATACGCTGAAGAGAAGGAAAAGCAAAGTAGAGGACATTTCCCATACATGAAAATTGCAACCCTGAATATGAGAGGCAAAGTCTAATGAGGTTCTTACAGGGTTTCAGGTATCAGGAAATTAACTCATGCATTTAGGTGAGTTAAGTATAATAGATGGTTAACAATCTATGGATAGCAAAGCAGTGATTACAGGCACATTGGATGATGAAAAGTTCTGTGCTTTGTAGTGCTGTAAAGTGGTTATGCACTGGCTAGAGGAAGTGAGGACGGGTTCTGCACTGCCTAGAAGAACATGTCACAGTGCGTTTTGTCCAGGAGACAGAATTTTAGGGTTTCAGTTTTTTCACTTGTTCCACCATTGCCAATAATTCATATACTATGCATTTTGTGTTTTATAAGTGACTGTAGTGGCTCCATTGTGGCCGTGTACGACTCAGGATAGATACACATGATGGA